AATAACAGGTCTCTCAGCCCAGAAGCTACCTTATCAAAATAAAGAGAGGTCATGCATTGCTGGAGTCTTGAAGTCTGGGCCGATAGAGTAAAACATCCGAAACTAGTTAATCATAAGATATGATTGCTGGACAGTGTCAAGGTAGAAGAGATATATATAATTAATCCATAACACAGCCTGTTGACTATTTTAGCTGAACTAAGTTTGAATTTATTCTCAATCCATGGATTTAAAAGAAAAGTTCAGCCTTGATCTTAAAGCTAATAAAAATATTATAAATACAAAAGTTGGGATTAAAATCTGTCCTGAATACAGTAAACAGCTAAAACTTATTTCAACGTGGTCAGTTGTGTTCGTCGTCTTCCAGAACTGAGCATTAAAATGAAATAACTAGAAAACTTATTTTAGTTATTATTCCTCAGATCTGATCATTATTAATTAACATGTTATTTAATTTAGAAAGTAAAAGAATTAGTAAGTGCATTTTTTAAAATAAAAACAAGTAAGTCATATTAAAATATTAAAACTGATGTGTTATTGCTCAAGCTTATCATTCTGTCAGAATCTCTGATTTTCTGTAGCTGAGGTGTTAAATGCATTTTTCATTTATTCATTAAAACTCTACAATAAACATTAAAACACTAGTTATAAATTAAATTAAATGAAGCAGAGGGAAGAAAAAAAAACCTGTTCTGTCCAGTCAGCGTGCGTTATGTCCCGTATTCGTGAAATGTTCAGCTCTGGCCGAAGTGGAGCTTGTAATTCCATTCTTCGGTGTCCTAATTTAAGTGCAAGAACTTCAGATTTTTGTCACTAAAGAGATAGATTAATATGAATTCCCATAGTGGCTCTCAGCAAGAAGGTCGCTGGATCAAATCCCAGCCCGGGGACCTTTCTGGTTAGAGTTTGCATGTTCTCTCTGTGCTTGCGTGGGTTCTCTCCGGGTACTCAGCTTCCTCTCACACACCAAAAACATGACTGTTAGGTTAAATGACAACTCTAAATTGTTCGCTAGGTGAGAGTGAATGGTTGTTTGTCTCATTTGTCTCTATGTATGATCCTGTGATGGACTTGCCACCTGTCCAGGGTGTACCCTGCCCCTTGCACTGTGACTGCTGGATATGGGCACCAGTGACCCTGAAAGGAAGAAATGGGTATAGACGATGGAGGGATGGACTAGATTTTCCAACTAAGAAAATTCAGCTGTACAAACAATGTCCACATCTGATGGATAGCTTACATAGAAATGCATTAGCATAACCTATAATGAAAAGTTTCTAGACTGCTTATAAATTTAACTCTTGGGAGACTACCTGTTTTTACATATAACATTGGCAATTTTCTCAGCTTTAATTTAAGATATTTTTATAGAAATCGGACAAGAAATAAGTGTGTTATGAATATTTTTGTGACAGATTGATGCGCATCCTGCATTGGAACTGTATGGTTTTGTTGACATGACTCAGTGCAATGTAATGGCACCTATGGAGATGCGTCACTAGCTTATAGCGGCTAATAGGCGCTGCCCAATCTAGAAATACATGTCAATGGTTCTCTCTCTCTCTCTCTCTCTCTCTCTCTCTCTCTCTCTCTCTCTCTCTCTCTC